GAGGGAGGGAGGTTGGGATTTGGAGGGGATAAGTGAGGGGACGAGGGAGGGGGCTACATCTGGGAAACAAAGTGAGTAAATTGTAATTAATATTTAAAAATAATTAATAAAAATAAAATTTAAAAATTTAAAAACAATACATTCTAAAAAAGAGATTAAATTCAGGTGCTTGTATTTTCAAAGCAAATACATTACTGGCAGATCTACCTCCCTTTCCACGTTCATTTTGATAACTGGTGAGACATGGTGGCCTACTTTTAGTCTGTTGTATGTTGATACACAGTTGCTCCAGCGCCATTTACTATTAAGACCTTCCGTTTTCCAAAATGTGTTTTACCGCTGTTGTCCACAAATCGACTGGCTGACAGATGTGTGAGTTTGTTTTGGGGCTCCCCAACCCTCCATTGGTCTTTGAATGCCAGTATAATGCCATTTTAAAAGAAAGCAGTATGATGGTTCATATACACTTTAGAATTTTTTCTGGTGTGATGTCACTGGTATTTTGACACCAATTACAATGAATCTGAAGATCACTTTGGGTATCATGGACATTTCGGCATGTTGATTTTTCCGTGAACCTTGGATACTTCTGTGTACGCGTTGTGTATGTGTGTCCTTTGATCTCCTTTATCAGTCATGACAGTTTTCATTACAAAGGCTTTTTATGTCATTGGTTAAACTTGTTCCTAGACATTTTTTATAGCTACTGTGAATGATATTGCTTTCCCAATTTCTTTTTCAGATAATTTGTTATTGCCATATGTAAATACTGATTTTTTTGTATATTTTTTATCCTGCTACTTTGCTAAACTCATTTATCAGTTTTAGCAGCTTATACAATTATGAAATATAATCAGGCTGGAAGCAAGTTTCAGTGTTTTCAAACTCTTGGGACAATAATAATTCCCGGGAATTCTGAGTTTGAATGGCTAAAATCCATGTTTAAGGAATAAAAGACACTATAAGACATATATATATATATATGTACTATATAGTACTTACAAAGAACTACAGCCTGTAGAAATAAATATTCAAACAAAAAGTCAGGTCTCCCAGTGAAGTAACAGCCCCTCATGGAAACACATGTGGACACTGCCAATGTAAGGACTGACTTTACACTGAAAATGGAGATGCTGACTGAGACATCAAGTAAGGAGCATGCATGATCTGGACTGAGGCCTTCTGCATACATATAACTGATGGGTGGCTTGGTCTTCATGCCTGGTGAGTTGGGTGTGTGTGTTTCTAACATGGACTCTATTACCTGCTTTGGATCACTTGCCCCTGGCAGGGCTGCAATGCCTGGCCTCAGGGCATCAAGATGTGCTCAGTCCTGATGTGACTTGATGTGCTGGGGAGGGTTGATATGGGGTGGGGGGGGGGTCTCCTCTTTTCTGGGGGAAAGAGGGGAAAGGAGGAAGGGGGAGAACTGGGAGGAGAGGAGGGAAGGAGCACCCCCCTTTCGATGTAAGTAAATTAAAAAAAATACGAGAAAATGTGTTATGCTTTGAGAGATTATAAGGAGCAACATTTATGCAATATATGTATATGCATTAAAAGTTATCCTTCCTTGTTCCACTTCTAAAATTCTATACCATACCTACACATATATTTCTTTAGATATATGTATACACTGTAGGCTAAGATCCACAGATGAGGGATAGTGAGAGTTTTTTTTTTCCTTTTCTGGGTCATCTTACCTGTAGTACATTCTAAGTTCATCTGTTTTCCTGCAAATTTTGTGACTTCACATTTCTTTATAGCTGAATAACATTCTAACACACACACACACACACACACACACACACACACACACACACACACACCAGATGATCATTTCCCATTAATCTCCTGATGGACAACTAGGTTGGTTTTACCTTCTTGCTAACAAAAATAGAACAACAAACATGGATGTGTGTGTAGTGCTCATTTTTAAACTCTTATTTTATTTGGGGAGTTTAGGCTGCTATCTCCCTCCCGTCAACCCTTTATTCCTCGATAGGAGAGGGAGAGGACGCACAAACCCCTTTACTTCTCCAGGCTATTTAGAGTCAATGGGTTCTTTTCAGGCTATACCAGTCTCCATCAACAGCAGATGCAGCGAGCACCGTCCTCCAGGCTGCTGTGCCCCCAAGTGTTCCTCTCCTTCTGTCTGCTCCAAGCCGCCACACCGTGTCTCCAAACCGCCACCTGCCACACTTTCTCTTCTGGCCTCTCATATTTATATCCTCAGAATGCTAGACCATGCCCCAACCATGCTGCGAAGGCCATGCCCCACACATGACAATTATTACTTGTGGACAAACTAAAACCCAACTAAAATCTCACATTTGGGATTAAAACAAAAACCAGTTTATATAACTGAGTTTTAAAAGAAACCCAAACTTCCATTACATGTGTATGGATCTCTATGATAGGATATAGAGGTCTCTGGTTATATGCCCAAGAGTGGAGTAGCTAGTTCACATAGGTCCTTCTTCTCATTTTCTGAGGATCCTCCAAGCTGATTAATCACACTGGTTGTATTAATTTGCATTTCTACTGCAGTGGATAAGGGTTTCTTTTTTAAAAAATTTTTATCATTAGTTACATTTTATTAACTATGTATCCCAGCTGTATCCCGCTCCCTCATTCCCTCTCAGTCCTACCCTCCCTCCCTCATCTCCTCCCTGCCCCTTTCCAAGTCCACTGATTGGGGAGGACCCTCCTCCTGTTTCATCTGACCCTATTTTATCAGGTATCTTCAGGACTGACTGCAAAGTCCTCCTCTGTGGCCTAACAGGACTGCTCCTCCCTTGAGGGGTGGGGAGGTCAAAGAGACTGCCATTGAGTTCCTGTCAGAAATAGTCCCTGTTCCCCTTACTATGGGAAAACCAATTGGTTACTGAGCTACCGCAGACTACATCTGAGCAGAGGTTCTAAGTTATATCCATACATGGTCCTTGGTGGAGTATCAGTCTCAGAAAAGACCCCTGTGCCCAGATATATTTGGTCCTTGTGGAGCTCCTATCCTTTCCACGTCATACTAACTCCCCCTTCTTTCATATGATTCCCTGCACTCTGCCGAAGGTTTGGTTATGAATCTCAGCATCTGCTTTGATACACTGCTAGGCAGAGTCTTTCAGAGGCCTTCTGCAGTAGGCTCCTGTCCTGTTACTTGTTTTCTCCTACATCCAATACACCTCCCATTTGTCTTTCTGAGTGAGGATTGATCATTTTACCCCGGGTCCACTTTCTTATTTATCGTCTTTAGGTGTATAGATTTCATTATGTTTATCATATCTTATAGGTCTATATAAGTGAGTATATACCATGTGTGTCTTTCTCCTTCTGGGATACCTCACTCAGAATGATCTTTTCTAGATTCCACCATTTGCCTGCAAATTTCATGATTTCCTTGGTTTTGATTACTGAGTAGTATTCCATTGTGTAAAAGTACCACAATTTCTGTATCCATTCCTCCATTGATGGACATCTGGGTTGTTTCCAGGTTCTGATTATTACAAATAAGGCTACTACAAACATGGTTGAGCAACTGTCCTTGTTGTGTACTTGACCAAATTTTGGGTATATGCCTATGAGTGGTATAGCTGGATCTTGAGGAAGCACTATTCCTAATTGTCTGAGAAAGTGCCAGATTGACTTCCAAAGTAGTTTTACCAGTTTACATTCCCACCAATGTAGGCTGGAGAGATGGCTCAGTGGTAAAGAACACTGGCTGCTCTTCCACAGGACACGGGTTCAATTCACAGCACCCACATGGCAGCTCACAAATGTCTCTAACTCCTACCTCAGAGGATTAGACTATCTCACAGATGCAGGCAAAACACTGATGTACATAAAATAAAAATAAACTTTAAAAAATATTAGAGACTTGATTCTTGACAGCCATTCTGACTCGGATGAGGTAGTATCTCAATTTGCATTTCCCTAATGACCAGGAATACTGAGCACTTTTAAATTAGTCCCTCCCAATTGTCTATTCAATTTATTAGCCCCTTTGTTGATTGGTGGTTTTATTCCCTTGGTGTTTAATTTCTGCAGCTCTTTGTAAATTCTGGATAACAATCCCTTGTCTGAAGTGTTATAGTGGATAAAGATTTTTCTCCTATTTACTGGCTGCTGTGGGTTCTGCTAAGCTTCCTTTACTGTGTAGTTTCAACCAATTGTTTTGTCTCAGGAATGTGGATACTCCACTAATCAATCATCAAATGCTTTTTCTTTTGGTTTACATTAGGCAGCTTTGTTCTGTTATGTTGAATTTCTTTGCTTTTTGAAAAAAATTACAGAAAATATTAAATAATATATATATATATTTTAAATGAAGGGTAGAGAAAAACAATGAAAAACTTTACCACAGCCTTTCCAAATTAATCTGTTTGAATGACATGACAGCAGCAGATGCCAGAAGAGGAAAGTGAAAGGGACAGGTGAAGAGAGAGAAAGCCATAGTCACCGAGAAAGTAGCAGCATGACATGAGGGAGGGAGGGAAGGAGAAGATGGGAAGGACCAGGAAAGCAAGGAAAGCAGGGAGAGGGAAGGAAGGAGGAGGGAGTGAAAACTACAGCCTCTCTTAGGACAGTTGCCAGTGGGATGGATGGGGCCACACAGCTGGGAGTTTGCTGTGGGCCTCTGGATCCTGGGCCCGCCCTTTCCTGATTCATTTCTGGGGTATTCTCCTTTAGGGAGGCTCCTTTTTATCTCCTAGTGGACTTTTCTAGGACTTGGGAATAGTCCAACCGTGGAGCAAGTAGCAGACCCTCTCTAAAGGGGCTGGAGCGGACTGTTTTCCTGACCTAAATTCACCTGATAATCCTTCACTGGAATTACAGGCTTGTGGTGTGAAACTCCTGCACCTTATCTTGAGAGATATCCACCTATCTCACCTATGCACCCCCCCACCCATCCATGCATGAATGCATTTAAAAGAACTTAAGTGACGTAAGAGGTGAATGTGACAAAGATTAGTTCAGTTCATAATCATTACATAATACAAATATACATTGTTCAGTTTTATTTTACACTTTTCACATTAAATGAAACATAACTATAACCATTACAGAGCATTACCATAATAATATGCACAAAGAACTCTTAAAAAAAAAAAGAATACAATCTTCAACAAGTTAAATGCCACTTTACTATGTAAACAAAGATAAAAATAAAACCCTGATGCTAATAAGTATCTATTCAGAGGTAAAAGACAGGTACAAAAACATTTAAACATGAACCTTACTGACAACCAACTACACTCTTTGCAGCAGAGGACACCCACTGGTACTTTTTCTACAGTGCTTCAGAATCCTGTTAAAGTCACAGCCATCTCTGGTTCATGACACGGCACAACTCATAAGGCAAAGATAAGAGGCATTATCGTCCAGTTCTTTAATTTTACAGGTATATTAAGGCAAACTTGGAACTTTTTGCTTGGTAGTTTAAAGTAAGTGGGACTGTACATATGATATCTTGACAAAATTAAGTGTAGAAGACATGTGGATATGTAATATGAAAGACATGGGTGACAGTTTTTCTCTGCAGAGATGTAAACTGAATTCTTACTTGACCATATTCACACTAGTAATATTTGTAAACGTCTTCAATTTACAACATATTAAACTTATTTTTCAAATGTGAGTATCAACACTGAATTCAGTAAACTGGATGTAAAGATCTAATAGGTATCCAGCCACAGAATCCCTAACTAATTAAATCTTGTCTAATTAAAGGGCTGTTTACAGTGGGAAAGAAAGGGTTAATAGTGAAACAGGATGTTACCTTGACATGTCACATTGTCCTGTAACTCTGAACAGAAGGCTCGCAGAGGCTGCCATAAATTAATTGAATTTTAAGCAGTAATTTTATTGTAGAATCTGATTTTCAATACCAGGAACCCCACACTACAAGTGAAAAATAAAATAAAACCAAAAAACAGCATGTTTTCCTCAGTGTTACCAAGAGTCGCGATGTTCTAGACAATAGGGTTTGGTTGTGCTCTTTCCCAGCTTTGTTTTTCCTTCATAAGTACACCATCCAATTCTGAGAGACATGGAAATCTTTAAATATTAAAGAGCCAAACACTGCATCCACATTCCCTGAAAAAATTACAGAAGACGAATGACACTGTGATTGATCAGGTTTCTATTTCCCCTGTTGCTCTTTTTTAATATATTTCTGGGCAGTCTTAAATTTCTTTTAAGTTCTTCCTTGAAAAAAACCATATATTTTTACAACTATATACATATGTTTATATATAAAGTTATACATATATATATAGTTCTAAAAACATTAAAACTGGGGATCTGTAATCTAACATTCCATCCTTTTTAGTGTAAGAAACATAGAGCTTTATATTCACAACTCATCAGCAGTGTTCAGCTGAAACTTCTCATCTCTGTTTAAACCTGCCAGGTGTCAGGTCACACAGGAGCCCTGGTTATTATGAACAGGATTCCCTGAATAAGTGTATCTCTAAATTTCAGTGTTTTTTTTCCCCCTGCTTTCTGTTTTCATACTTTATTCATAAGAACATGATCCTACTGTTGCCCCAAATGTTTTGCATTTAGTTTTTAAGTCAGATAAAATATTTAGATAAAAAAAAATCAGTACATACTTTTGATCTAATTTGGCAAATGGCTATGGATTTGATATGATTTGCATACTGGAAACTATATGAGTAAAGTTCGGTTGAGACAGAATGACTGGAATAGATGTGTTTATATTTAAAGTAACTTTCCAGTCTTTCAAACTCACTTCTTCTGGGAGGAAGAGATTAACAGTAGTGTAACAGAATATATTTCACAATTTGATATAAACAAAAACTAAACTAAACTAAACTGGGCATATAAAGGTGAATATGTGCTGGAATCTACTTTAAATTGCTTTTCTTTACATAAGGTTTAGGCCAACCACAATAGTGCACCTTATTTCTATTCAACAAATTTATTCAAATCAATGAAAAAGTTATTGCTATGCATCATTATGATATTCAAACAAGCGACATAGAAAATATTCAGTAGATTTTATTAGCTTCTGTTGAGTTCTAAGTTAGAAGAGACTAAAAATCACTTGCAAGGCTACATAGTCTGTGCAAATATTTGTAAAGCATGGTGTTACTTTATGACTAAAGATGATTTTACGTAGTTTCATAATATATTCTCATATCTAAAACTGGTAGTTTCTGGAAGAACAGGAAAACTACAAATTGTCCAGCTATAGTTTTTGAATAATGACATATATGCTAACAGGTAAAGCTAGGCTTTATAACTGCAAATGGCTTCTTAACAATAGTTAGAATAGTATGGCACTTAAGAATGCAGGATGAGTTATTTTTTGTTTTTGTTTTTTTTTTTTTTAGGAAAAAATATTCACCAGTCTTGTAGAAGTTACAAAGAGAGAGAGAGAGAGAGAGAAGGTGAGGGGGAAAAAACAACCCAAAACAAAATTACTAAATATGAAAACGCAAGTACCAACATAGTAATAAACTGCAAGGTAATATGTTTAGGACTAACATATTTAGTAACCCATGCTAAATTAAGTTACCTATTTCTTTTAAATAAGCTGTCAGTGGCTGTAACAGTTTTGTTTTGAAAGATAGTTTCTTAAATCAAAGCAGAACCAAATTTAGAACCATTTATTCAAGTAAACATCGAGTTCCAGTTTTCCTCAGTAAGTTAAAAACACTCAGTTACCTAAGATATGAATGCAGTAACGCACACCTGCCTAGCATACTGTGCTTGGAGCGTATATTTCTGTGCTGAAGAGCATCTAATCTCTAGAGAAGAAAATAAAAAAGCATCATTCTTTAAGTCACCATTCAAAAACCATGGGAAGTATAACTCAAGCCATTCAGATCATGATGGATGTTAACACTAATGTAATCACTAACATTTTCCATATGCACAAATGAACCAAGCCAGTAAAAATGAAAACAATTATCAAAGTACATCATGCATCTCACACTGAACATCCAAATAACATCAGTTATAGCTTTGTTATACATCCTACAGTTAGCACCATTTTTATAGTTGAACACTGAAAATAAAATTAAGACATTAAAAACTAAGATTAAGAATATATAAAAAAATATGAATTAAGGGTGGTATTAAACACCTTTCAAATATATTTACATCAACTGTCAGAATCCTGCCTTGTAGCACTAAAGAATAACCCAAACTGACACAACTGGTTTTCTGTTCATGCTTATCAAAGCACAGATCAGGAACAAAGTTCACCCAGCACATACAGAAAAAGCATAAACAATAAATAAGCAATGTCTGAAAACAGGGCCCCAAATATGATAATTAACGCCATAGTTTTGCAACCTTAGCACACTATTAGCCCTGAAGTCATTTAGCAGAAGGAACGTGACTGACATGTTATTTACAATCCTTAAAAGTACCCAAAGTAAAAGCAGCCCTTTCCCAACAACCACGTGAAGCGCATGAATTTTCCTTCACCAATTACCACCCACACTGTACACATTTGATACAGTCCAGAGTCTGAGGCTTCTCTCATCTTAGTAAGTCAAATACAGATCAGGAAAGCAGAGCTCAAATTAGGAAACAAACCCAGAAAAGCAGCAAGGTTTCTTTACACGTAGAAACACAAAAACTAGTCTATCCCAGTCTCGGTGGAGAAAAGTGCACAATTCAATTGCTTAGGTCTTTTTTTTCCTCCCCACCCTTTTTTAAATTATTAATTCACTATATAATCAAGAGCAATTCAAACTACTTGTCAGTTCAAAGTGCCCAACAGAACTTTGAGTCTTCACAGCACTTCAAGTTGCAAAGAAAGGAGTGTGGCTTTCAGGTTCAGGGCACTGGGCATTCCTTCTTGTGGCACCACCAGGTGCGGTTTCCATGAGTTCACACTTGTCAAAGTGCAGTCAATCCAAAATTGCAGCGACAGTATATCATGCCAGCTGAATCCAGCCATGTATCTGAGATAGGGTCGTACTTCTGTACTGTGTTCAGGTAGGAAGACCCTGAGTGACCACCGACTACATAAAGGTAGTTATCTATCACTGCAGCACCAACTCCTATAACAGGCGGGGAGAAAAGAACAAACAGGTTAAGTTGAAGTAGATTATGTTTCATTGAGAATGAAATAATTTCTATCTTAATGCATTTTCAAAATTGATTTCAGTAATCTCCTATAATTATATAAGCAACACAGCATTTATAGGCTTACTAGAAAACAAACAAAACCCCTTAACAAGAGTCAGTTGCATTTACCTCTGCTCTCCAGCCCTCCTCTCCCTACATACAGGGAGGCACTTTCAAAATACGCTTTTAGTTTTTACAGGCAGTAATTGGACATGCTCACAGGGTACAGTGTGATACGGTACAATGATCAGATCAGGGTAACTGGCATGCATTAAAGTGTTATGAAGGAAGTATTTTTATAATGTATATTTGTATGTTTTTCTATAAATCATTTTATCTCTTCTTCAAATACATCTCACTATGTAACTTATGCCTTGCAAGGCCTTTCTTAGATATTACCATCTACAGTTCTAAAAATAGTAAGTCTATTGACATTTTTACAATTCTCATTGTGTTTATGGCTTTCCCTTTTGAGGGTGCCAAAGAAACCAAACTGAATACTTAAGTGGCTCATTGTGTTTTGTGCTGTTGATGTCCTTTGAGTGCTTATGGTTCTGTAGTTTTTTCAATCATAAAAACGTAAAAAGTCTACAGTATTTCCATTACTTAAAACTGCCCTTTAAATAACTCATTTGAGTTTGGGTTAAAAGATAACAACTTCTACTTATACCCAATAATGTATTTTTTCTTCCCTAGAAGCCCTAAAATCTGACCCTTTTTTGAGTGAACTATCCTCTTTGCAGAGGAAAGAATATTTGATAGTCAAACATAAGGATAGTGATATACAAATCAAATAAACAGCTGGGAAGAGGGTCAGGGAAGATGGCGGGTAAGAGACATATGATACTTCAGGGCATCCTCGAGAATCTGAAGACATCATTAGGTATGTGGTGTGGAAAAGCAAGGGAGGGAAATGGCAAGCAGCAGAAACCAGGTAAACTATAGGAGCACTGCAGATTTGTAAAAGAAAACCTACTAAGCAAACAGCAGGGAACAAGGAGGCTCCCCCAGTGAGAAAAGAAAGGGCCTGGAGGGTTCCATGTGTGCATTAGGTGACACACTGAAAAAATGAAGTCTGTGATGGCATTTCTAGCTTGGCATGGTGATGCATGCCCTTGATGCCAGCCCTCTGGAGGTAGAGCTTGGTAGAGCTCTGTGAAGCCGGCCTGTTCCTCAAGGCAGAATCACAAGGTGAGAACCTGCATTCTGTGACCTGTGCAGCACACATTCCACTGGTCCTATGGGTGGCAATCATCTTAGTAGAGGCCTCACACTCATACTTGGGCAAGGAAAGCAGACAACCTGCATTTCTACATCTCTAAACAACAAAGGCCTCACCTTTCCTCACTGAGTGAGTGACCACTTCAAGAACTCATTATGACTTGGACTAAGATTCATGGAAAGAGATCTACTTGACTCTAAGCGGAAGCCACACACAGTGGCCAGCTGAAAGTGAAGTCAGTAAAACTGTAGTAAGATGAGACAAAAGTTGTATGGGTATGAGAGAAGTGTCTAGAATAAAGAATCGCAAAGCCCTAGTACACAGATCAAACACAGCCCTGTGCTTTGTCTGTTGCTGCCAGAGACAGTGTTGGCTTGACTGATTTGTATAGTCTCAGAGGACCACAGCAAGTTGTACACATTTCCCATTCTAAACCCACACAAGCGGAGTGCCTCTGATAGGAAGAGCCATCCATCCAGGGTGTGTCCTAGGATTCATGTGGTGGGAGCAGTTCAGAGAGTGGAGCCAGCACTGGCACATTAACGGACTTTCCAGATAAACTCTGACAGGGCTCAGATGAAAACAGCCTTTGTATTCTAAACTGTCTAGCCTTTAGAGGGAAAAACTACCTTGTATCCTCCGTCTAGAAAACAGCAAAAGTGTGTGTGTAGTATGTGCATGGCGTATGTGTGTGAATACTGTGTATGTGTAGTGTGTGGAGTCCTGATGTATGGCATATGTGTGTATGTGGTGTGGTACATGTGTCAATGTGTGTGTATGTGATGCTCTATGTGCATGTGTGTTGTGGTGTATGTGCTGAATGAGTTTATGGTGTATATGTGTGGTATACATGTATGTTTTGTGGTATATGTGTGTATGTGTGTGGCATATATGGTTGGTGTACAGTGTATGTGTTATGTCTGTGGGTTCTGTGTGGTGTATGGTTATGTGGTGTGTGGTACATATTTGTATGTGTATGGTATATGTATGAGGTATGTGTGATGTGATTGTGCATGTATGTTTTCTCTGAAGAAAGAGATACTGATCGTTTCCCTCCTTCCCTTTTGTCTTTTCTTCTCTGTGTCTCCTTCCTTCTTCTCTGGATTGCTTGTCTCTATTTACTTTGCACTTTATTATTTTTTGTGTGTATGTATGTTATACAAATATGTGTAGGTATATGTGCACATGTAGAGGTTAGAGGTTGATGTCAGGTGTCTTCTATTGCTGTGAACTTTATTTTCTGAGACAGGTTTTCTCAATGAACCTGGAGCTTGCAGATTTGGGGGGATTGATTGGCTACTAAGCCTCTGGAGTCCTTCTGTCTTGACTTCCTAGTGCTGGGATTACAGACATTTGATGATATGTCCAGATTTCGTGTGTGTGGTAAGGTTAATGTTGTTTTTATGTATATTTCTCTCTGTGTGAGGAGCAGATGAGAGTTGGGTCCTCTGGAGCAGTGAGCTACAGATGGTTGTACACTGTCTAAAATAAGTGATGGAAACCACATTCGGAGACTCTGCTCAGGCAGCAAGTGGTCTTAACTGTTTCCCTCTAGTTCCATGAACCACATGGGCACTAGGATCCAAACCTAGATCCACACACTTGCTCGGCAAGCACTTTAACCACAAGCCATCTCTACAGCCTTATTATTTCTATGCCAACGTTTCGTCTTTTTCCTTTCTCAATTTCTTCCTTTCCAAACACCCCTCTTCATTATTTAATTTTTAATTATCATTACCTTCAGTAATTTTAAAACGTTTACTTTATCCTGTAGGTATCCTACGGACACCTAACATTTTTTTCTAACCTTCCTCATTAACCAGCCATATTTCCAACTCTTTTATATTACACTTAAACTCCTGAATTTTTTTTAGATTGCTTCTATTGCTGCTGACTACTATTTCTTCTCTGAGTGGTGATGGGATTATGATCCCAAGTAAAGGTTGCTAACTAAGACATCTATTTAAAAAAAAAAAAAAAACAACTGAAAGAGATATTTATCCCAACAAATGTGAAAATTACAACACAAACCATAATAATATAAAAAACCAAGACAATATGCATCCCCCAAAGATTATAATTCTTCAAGAACTGAATCCTAGGATATTAAGATGTCTGAAAGAATTTAAAAAAATCTAACTTAGAAATGAGCAATGAACAAAGTCAATTTTTATAAATAATCAGTTATCCCAAAGAGAATGCAAACAAATAAATGATATAAGGATGCCAAGACCTAGGCAAGAGGGCAACCTGGATGAGAAAATCAGCATGGAAATTGAGATTCTGAAAATAAACAGATGGAAGATAGTAGACGTGAAATAGTAGAAAGCACCACTAATAGCCAACATCAATCAGAAGAAGGAACATCATAGGGATAAGGACACAAGATCAATGAAATGCCACATCAGGTACGAGTGAAGAAAGAATTAGCAAGATGGCCAAAGATTTCAAGTCCTCTGGAACATGAGCAACAGACCAAACTAAACAATTTATGGGGTAGAAAGAAAACCTTTTCATAAAATGACAGTTGAAACTTACACAAATCTAAGGAAAGAGATAAGCATTTATTTATAAGCATTTAAAACCCCAAGTACACATGATTAGAAAAAAGTGTTTTCCCAGATACTCTAAATCTGTTAGAAGAAAAAGTGGGGAACAGCCTAGAACTCATTGGCACAGGAGACAACTTCCTGAACAGAACACCAACAGCACAGGCTCTAAGAGCAACAATTAATAAATGGGACCTTATGAAACTGAACAGCTTCTGTAAAGCAAAGGACACTGTCATCAAAACAAAACGCCTGCCTACAGATTGGGAAAGAATCTTCACTAACCCTATATCTGACAGAGGACTAATATCGAGTATATACAAAGAACTAAAGAAGCTGAAAAGCAGCAAACCAAGTAATCCAATTAAAAAATGGGGAACAGAGCTAAACAGAGAATTCTCGACAGAGGAATATCGAATGGCAGAGAAACACTTAAAGAAATGCTCATCCTCATTAGCCATCAGGGAAATGCAAATCAAAACGACCCTGAGATATCACCTTACACCCATCAGAATGGCCAAAATGAAAAACTCAAGGGACAACACATGCTGGAGAGGTTGTAGAGAAAGGGGAACCCTCCTCCACTGCTGGTGGGAATGTAAACTGGTACAACCACTCTGGAAATCTATCTGGCGCTTTCTAAGACAATTAGGAATAGTGCTTCCTCAAGACCCAGCTATACCACTGCTAGGTATATACCCAAAGTTTGCTCAAGTACACAAAAGGGATATTTGCTCAACCATGTTTATAGCAGCTTTATTTGTAATAGCCAGAACCTGGAAACAACCCAGATGTCCATCAACGGAGGAATGGATACAGAAATTGTGGTATTTTTACACAATGGAATACTACTCAGCAATCAAAAAGGAGGAAATCATGAAATTTGCAGGCAAATGGTGGGACCTAGAAAAGATCATCCTGAGTGAAATATCCCAGAAGGAGAAAGACAAACACGGTATATTCTCACTTATATAGACCTATAAGATATAATAAACATAATGAAATCTGTACACCTAAAAAAGATAATTAAGAGAGTGGACATGGGGTAAGATGATCAATCCTCGTTTAGAATGACAGATGGGATGTGCATTGAAAGTATGACAGGAGTCTACTGAGCACATTGGAAAGACTCTAACTAGCAGTGTTTTCAAAGCAAAGACTCATGACCAAACCTTTGGCAGAGTACAGGGAATCATAAGAAAGAAGGGGAGTTAGTCTGATGAGGAAAGGATAGGAGCTCCACAAGGACCAAATATATCTGGGCACAGGGTCTTTTCTGAGACTGACATGCAACCAAGGACCATGTATGAATGTAACCTAGAACCTCTGCTCAGAGGTAGCCTGTGGTAGCTCAGTAACCAATTGGTTTCCCATAGTGAGGGGAACAAGGACTATTTCTAACAGGAACTCAATGACTGGCTCTTTGGCCTCCCCACCCCCCAAGGGAGGAGCAGTCCTGTTAGGCCACAGAGGAGAGCTTTGCAGCCAGTCCTGAAGATACCTGATAAAACAGGATCAGATGAATGGGGAGGAGGTCCCCCCTATCAATGGACTTGGCAAGGGGCATGGTGGAGAGGAGGGAAGGAGGGAGGGACTGGGAGGGAATGAGGGATCGGGACACGGCTGGGGTACAGAGTTAATAAAATGTAACTGATAAGAAAAAAATGAAAAAAAAATACAAAAAAAATTTTCTTTAAAGGTACACACATAGTTCTTTTCAGTGAAAAAAAAAAAAAAAGAAAAAAGCGTTTTCATGCCTCTTTATACTTAAGATACCAAGAGGAGAGAACGAAGAAAGACTAATGGACCCAGTAAGAGAAAAATGTGAACCTACTAAGGACAGAGTCATCAGTATTACACTAATCTTCTCAGAAGTGTAAAAGAAAGAAAAACATGGAATGGCACATTTCAAGCCTTGATAGTAAGCAACTGCCAATTAACGTTATTATGTACAGCAAAGCTGTCTTTCAAAATCAATTTAGAAATACAGACCTATGAAAGCAAAGACAAACCAAAGCAATACAAGGCCACTAAGCCAGCATCAAACATAATACTTTAAAGGAGGGAAGAAAGACAGTCATAACTTTTTTTTTTTTTTTTTTTTTTTTTTGAGAGAGAGGGTTTCTCTGTGTAGCCTTGGCTGTCCTAGACTTGCTTTGTAGACCAGACTGGCCTCAAACTCACAGTGATCTGCCTGTCTCTGCCTTCCTGAGTGCTGCCACTGTGTCCAGCTAAAACAGCAAGCTTCTAAGGTAAAGAGGTAGAAAAAAAATACATAACATTCAAATTAAGCAAGAAGCAGCAATAAAATTATAGTAATAAATTATACCTTCCAATATTAAGCTGAAATGTAATTGGTGCAAAGCCTGTGATTAAAAAAAAAAAAAAAGGAGGCTAGACAATTGTAATAATATCAACACCTAGCCCTTTGCTATCTGTAAGGAATACACTTCACTGGCAAATAAAAACAGGCTTGAAAGTGAAAGGATAATGGGGTGTCTTTGAACATGATCAAAATATACTATAAACTTGTAAAAAATAGTGAACCAAATTTAACAACACATTAAAAACATCATACAGTATGATCTAGTTGGGTTTACTTCAGGCACGCAAGAAAGGTTCCATGTATACAAATCATTAAACATAATTGAACACAATGGTGGACTCAAAGACAAAAATCATGTGGGCATCTCCACAGATGTAGAAAATGATAGGCAAAATTTAATATTACCTTGATAAATATCCTGGAAGTAAGTAGGAATACATGGATCCTCAATATAATAAAAGCTATGTATGATGAACATATAGCAATATTATATGTGATATGGAAAAACTAAAATCATTTTCATTAAAACCAGGAAATAAGACATTTAATGAGATTCTTATTCAGTATAATATCTAAATTCTCTAACCAAAAAATATGGGACAAGAAATAGGAATAAAAAGTGATATAAATAGAAAAGGAAGAAGTACAATTATCTGTATTTAAAAATGATATAATTCTGGATTTAAAAACTCCAGCTACCCCACCCATTGTGTTGTTTTGGGACTGACTGGAATCCAAACTGGAGCCCAGACACAGACCCCCTGACCCGGTTGTCCATAAGACACTTCACCCAATAGTCAACTCTAGGACCAAATAAAAAATAAAGTCCAGTGACCTGAAACCCAGGACTGTAAGGCCTCTTACAACACAGATTTCAGGTAGGGCTCCCCAGTTCCAGTCACCCACCTTTCTTGCCACCCCAACCACAAATCAGTCCAAAAAACCTTGTGGTATCTTCCAACTACCAGAGCAAGTTCTCCACATACAAAGTTCTACTATACAAAGATGCTCTACTGGCCTGACTACTTGCAGCCTCACCACAGATAAGGACTCACAGCCCAGCATCTACCTCACCTACATCAATCTCTGCTCTATCTTTATCCATGCACATCTCACTTGCCTCTATCTGAGAACAAAATGTCCTGAACCCCATCCCAAAGGAGCATCACACACTCATTCCCACTGTGATGCTGGCCCCTGTCACCAAGGGCCAACTGTAGAACTTGGAGAACTCCCCTGAGACCTCTGAATTTTGGTAGTGAGAGTCTCCTAAGCTTACAGGTTTGCTCCTAGGCAAAGAGGTTGCAGCTGCCCCTGGGTGAGCTAAGACTACTTCTCATATTCCTTTCACATATCAATATACAGTGGCCTCTGAACACCAAGCACTATTCAGCTGGTTAAAACCCTGACAAGTTGGGGCAACAGCAAACAAGATCCAAATACCCACTCAACAAAGATCAGAGAAGACATACATAACAAACAAACAAACAAACAAACAAAAAAACACCAACCAACCAAACAATAATGACCAAACTCTAGATGCCTAGCCCCCATCACAAAACCATAAACAGCATGCATGAACGACATGTCTCAATACATTAGCACCCCTAATTGTAATGCTCCCTGACAAAAGAAGCTTAGTTAATGCACAGACAGGGTTTTCAAAATAGAAATTATAAATGTGTTTACAGAACCCAAAGAGGGTACAGAAAGAAGAAAATCATAGTGAAGGCATAAAAAATATCCTCAATAAAATAAATCACAGAAGAAAACTTCTGCAACTAAATGAAGAAATACCTATCCAGATTCAAGAGATCTATGGAACAAGAAGATAAAAAAAAGGAAGTAAATTTTTCTCTATGACATATTATAGATGATACTAGAAGAATATTTCAATCTGAGGAAGGGATAGGCACCTCTCCTCAAGAGGTCAAAGGGAACAAATAATCCAGGACATGTAATCAAATGAGATCTGAGAAAACACCACAACACTACCAAATGACAAAATAAATACACACCTTTTAATAATAACTCTAAATGTTAATGATTGCAATTCCCAAATAAAAATAAATGGCAAAAAAAAAAACAAACCCAAAAAAGACAAACACTGTATGCATGCTGCTCTCTCTTGCTCTTTCTCTGTGTGTTTGTCTGTGTGTGCATCGGTCTCTATCTCTCACACACATACACAAATATTTTTTTTCTGGTAAAATAATATCCTTAGTGTTAAGGTCTGAGGTGCTAGCATAATAAGAATATCACTATATGAAGTATAGCTCTGTATGCTAAGTGTAATGAGTTAACAGCTAAGAAGCAGTTCAGCTGTAGATGTGGAGTATTACGCACACAGGCCTGGGTTTCAATCCCCAGTATCAGAAACAAAGAAACAAACAAATAAAAGAATGAAGGTATGAAAAAAAAATATTACCTGTCCTAGGCTCTTTCATTGGTCTACACACTGTCCACTGATTTTGATGAGGATCATATCTTTCAATGCTTGACAAATGCGAGACACCATTATGTCCACCTACCACAAAAATAAAACCTAGCATAACTCCGACGCCAAAGTGAATCCTTTTATCTGCCATGGATGCAACCATCTCCCAGGAATCCTTACTTGGATCGTACCGCTCCACACTGCAAGTATTTACATGAGGAAGAATTAATTCATAGGTCATTTTTGTCACTCTTCCTGCAAAACTAAAATCCACCACAGTTTTTAAAATTAAATAGACAAATAAAAATAACAGTAATTTGTCCCAAATGTTTAGGTATCTGTAGATAAGACTTCAGGTATAAAAGTTTACTTTGTGGACATAATACAATAGCTGAATGTTATTCTTGTATATAATTAGATATCCATGAGGGTTGCAAAGCCAATTCCATGGATGTTCCTATCCCTCATACAAAACGTTGGTGTAGTACATGTAAGCACAAGATTTCATTAGATTGCTCACAATGAGTAAATAAATCTTTAGAACATCAATTTTTAACAAAGGTTTAGAACTATGATTCACAGTACATATAATCAGTAACTTGCAAATTTTACTTTTTCTTATTTGTATTTCTTTTTTCTTTTTATCTTTTCTTGGTTTTTTGGAGACAGGTTTTCTCTGGGTAGCCCTGGCTGTCTTGGACTCACTTTGCAGACCAGGTTGGCTTCGACTTCACAGAGAGCCACCTGCCTCTGTCTTCCTGAGTGCTAGGATTAAAGGAGTGCACGTCCGACTTTGTGTTTCTCCTTTATTACAAAAATATATTACAGAACACAGAAATTTCTCCTCCTCAATTAGTGTGATAACGTGTAGTATGACCACAGAATCCAAAAAGGAATATGAAATAAGCTTTTAATTTTAAAAGCTGCTTCTTTAAAACAATTACTATGTATGCATGAATACAGGTGTAAATATACCACAAAAACAAGAGCAGCTCTTAAGAAATGGCTCTTTGCTTCCGTCATGGGGTCCAAAGAATGAACTCACTTTGATAAGCAGGTACAGCAAGCACTTACCCACTCAGCCATCTCACTGGCCCAAGACATTATAATTTTATAATGTCTCATAGTGTACTGCAATACAAGAATTGCACTTCTACCGTATCCTACTAGGCAATGTAAGAAAAAAACATGCACACATGTTGATGCACACATAACTACATCGTAAAAATCTAAATTTAACTATTTTTTTCTTTTTTAGGTTTCTGAGCTCTCAAATGTAGTTTACTATTTTAGTTGAATATAAACATTTAATAGACATTTGAATCTCAGTGATATAAAATATTACAACCAGGAGCAGTCTAAATTCCCAAATGCCTGTTATTATTACTTAAGCATATCGCAAAGTCCATTTACACACATAAAAATCAGAAAAGAATGTAAGTTGTGCTTTTGTAAAAATCTACCATCTTAAGCAATTCATTATTGTTAAATACCTGTTCATGTGAGCGGGGCCATACCCTCCAATGGCATATATCATTCCATCCAGAACAGCTGCAGCAAAACAACTTCTTGTGGTTGTCATTGGGGCCACAGGTTGCCATTGTCTTATTTTGGGGATGTATTTCTCTACAGATTGCAAGTACGACTGTCCATCATATCCACCTAAAGCATAAAGATCTCCTGCAAGTACTACTGCTCCAAGGGTACTTCGGCTTTCATTCATCCTCTCTATAGAAGTCCAGGTATTTGTATCAGGATTCCAACATTCCACTGAATTTTCATGTTTTCTGACAGTGAGACCAGGACGCACAGTAGTTTCAATACCACCTATAACATAGACTTTTTGGTCTAAAACACATATTCCAAATTCATAGCGAGGAATGTTTAGGGGTGCCAGACCAATCCAAGAGTCATTCTGGGGAAAGTACATCTCCACACTAATGAATAAGCAGAGAAATAGTAGATTAAAAAACTCAAATGGCCCATAAACAAGAATGTTTACTTGTGTTAATAATCAAGGTTGTGTAAATCAAAATCGTAACAAATCATGACATACCTTCTAGACTGCTTAAAGTGCAGACATAAAATAACTACTGGCAAGAGTGTTATGCAAAGACAGACACTGGTTAAGCATGTAAACTGGTACAAAATACTTTGGAATACAATCTAACAAAGTTGAGAATACATATCTTCACTTAGGATTCAATTCTTAATATATCTTCTCTATTGAATATCTACTATGGCTAATTTTGTAGTAGGCAACATATCCAAAAAATTGTTCACTGGAGCACAAAATAATAATACATCAAGCTGGGCATGGTGGTGCGCACCTGTAATCCCAGCACTCGGGGAGGCAGAGGCAGGCAGATCTCTGCAAGTTTGGGGCCAGCCTGGTCTACAATGCAAGTCCAGGACAGCCATGGCAACACACAGAGAAACCCCGTCTCGAAAACCAAAGGGGGAAAATTTCATCAATAAAATGGCTAAACATTATAGTATTTAAATGGATGGTACACATTGCCCATGACTAAGAAGATCCATTATTAGATATGTGTATAAAATAAATGCACCCACGTATGTATGTACGTAAGTGGACATGTAAATATTATGTATAACTCCAAGACTGGCAGCAGTCCAAATGTGCATCAAGCATAAAATGGATAAACAGGATTTCACAGCACAATGAAAATGAATTTTATACATGTGAAAGCAAAATGCCAAAATCAAAACAATTCTGAATATTTTCATTTGCATCAAGTTCGCAAACATATAAAACTAATTCCTGGATCAAAAATACATATAGTGATTGCCTTCTGGCACAGGTAGGTAGTTCAGGGTTGGTTCTGAGTGCCTGCCACATTCTACTACTCCAACTTTTATTTAGTTTGTTATGATTCACTAAACTGTATATATGGGGTTTGGTCAGTCTACATATGTATAAAACTTTAATATTTAAAATTAAAACCATATTATGTCCATATACCATATTACTAGATGCTCATGAAAGTAAATTGTGTCTTTTCCCATATACTGTAACAGATGAATTTCACAAACTTTCTGTCCGGTGAGAAAAACCACATTGAAGAAATATATTTAAATAAAAACGTTGAAGACCTTAGTATCTTTGAGAGAGTATGTAAAAACATTATAATGAAAAGCAAAATAATACAAAATTTAGGATAGTGTTATTTCTGGGAACTTAGAACAGAACATGTTTGTGTGCTAAAGTAATGAGGTAATGCAGTGGAAAGAGGTGAGGATACAGATGAAATATGGGATAAATGGGGAAAAAGAGAAAATTGTTTAGATTGGAAACAACTGACTGAATATATTGAGAGAAGTGATCTTAGAGAGATTCGGGCATGGGGAGGAAGTAGTTCTATAGTTGATTCTATATCTTCAACAGGGCAAGAAATGCATTGTGATGCTTGATATTTCTAAAGAGTCTAAGAAGTAAAAGAACACATTTGATGAAAGAAATGTATACAGTGGTTACTGGGGAGTGCTAAGGGCCACAAGAGACTAGGTACAATGGGTGTATTTCTCCAGCCACACTCTACTGCTTAAGAATATCCATGGCATGAGGAGACAGGAGGTTCTAACACCAACAATATGATGAAGGAATTGAAAGGAAAGAAAGCTATGGCCATGTTCTGAGGGATGATGGCAGTAAAATAAAAAATCCTGGAGGGAAGGAGAATCATAAAGATGTTTCTTAGCCCCCTTTATGCTGCAATAACAGAATATCACCAAAATGAGTAAATTACAAACAACAGTTAATTCGGCTTACAGATCTGGAGGTTGGGAAGTTCAAGATTGAAGGCCTGCATCTGGTGAGGACATCTGGCTACACTCTACAAGGTATCACATGGTGAGACAAAAAGGTCCCATCCCTTTATAGCCAATTGACTCTCGACTCACAAAACGATCTGACTTCTCAGCACTGTTACATTGAAGACTAAGTTCCTAACATGGATTTGGGGGTACATTATTTTGTTCTGGTTCCCCAAACTCATATCCTTCTCATGATGTAAAATATGATTATTTCATTTCACTATTTACAAGAATTTTAACTCATTTCATTATCAAAGTTTAAAGCCTAGTCTCATCTAAATCAAATATCAATCTCAACAAATGATTCACTTCCTCTTTGAGCTTAGGAGAACAAAACAAGTTATGTGCTTCCAAGATACAAGGGAGGAACAGGGTCAGGGCAGACATTCCCTTTCCTACACATAAAGAGGCAACAAAGGAGCAAGTGGTCCAAAGTATGCTCAAAGGAAAACAAGCAAAACACTACTATATCTTAGCACCAGGGACCGGTCTCAGCCAGTCTCCTTTGAGTCCACAGGCTGAGCATACTGGGTAGGAGCTGGGCCCGTAAGACCAAAGGAAGCCTCAACTCTATGGCTTTGTTTGGTTCAGTCCACTCAGCACCTCACAGTGGGAAAAGTCTTCATGCCTGCAGTTGTCCTCTCTCCTTATAGCTCAGCACTGACTCTAAGTAGAGGGTTCTCTACGGTTGTTCCATCTCTACCATAGATTTCGGCCTAGGCCTTCTGTTTTTTCTATGTATTCTTAGAAATTTAAGTAGAAAAGCCCACAAAGATTGCTTTCTGAATCTCTGGTGGGTCAAGCTGTAGATGAGCCTGCTTGAACAACAGCTGGAGTAGCTGGAGTGCTATGCTGAATGCTGTGCCGATTCCCGAGCCTATGCCTAAAATTGCTCTGCCCTTCCAGAGTTATGGCCCTGTGGTAAGAAAAGCACCAACAAAGATCACTCAAATGCTCTTAGGTCTCTCTTCTTTTCCTGATAATAGTATCTGACTTCCTTATATCCAAGCTCATCTCTTAAGTCTGTGGAGTTCACAAGATCAGGTTTGGTTTGCTCTTTTGTTTTTTTTCTCCTTATTATTAATTACAATTTGTTCACGTTGTATCTCTGCTGTAGCCCCTCCCTTATCTCTTCCAGGACTTACAATCCCTCTCTCTTCCCCACATTGCCCCTCCCCTAGTCCACAGATAGGGGAGGAGGTCCCCTACTACCTGACCCCTAGCCTATTAGTTAGATAGGATCCTCTCTCTCTTTGACCTAGTAAGGCCACCTCACCAGGGTGAAGTGATCAAAGAGCAGGCAACCAAGTTCATGCAAATGACTGCCCCTGCTCCCCTTACTAGGGACCCACTTGGAAACTGAGTTGCCATGGGCTATATCTAAGCATGGGGTCTAGGTTCTCCCTATGCATGGTCCTTGGTTGAAGCATCTGTCTCTGCAAGTCACCCTAGGCCCAGGTTTTTTTGGTTCTGTTGTTCTCCTTGTGGAACTCCTGTCCCCTACAGGTCTTTCTATCTCTCCCTTCTTCAGTAAGATTCCCTGCACTCTGCCCAAAGTTTAGCTATGAGGCTCAGCATCTGCTTTGATACCCTGATGGGTAGAGTCTTTCAGAGGTCCTCTGTGGAAGGCTCCTGTCCTGTTCCCTGTTTTCTCTTACTTCTGATGTCTATCCTATTTGCCCTTCTGAATGAGGATTAATCATCTTCCATAGGGTCCTCCTTGTTGTTTAGCTTCTTTAGGACTATAGATTTTACTATGTTTATCCTATATTATCCACTTATACATGAGTTTATTCCATGTGTGTCTTTCCACTTCTGGGCTGCCTCACTCAGGATCATTTTTTTTCTAGTTTCATCCATTTGCCTGCAAATTTCATGATTTCCTTGTTTTTAATTGCTGAGTAGTAGCCCATTGTGTAAATGGACCACAATTTCTGTATCCATTCCTCAGTTGAGGGACAGCTAGGTTGTTTCCAGACTCTGGCTGCTATGAACATAGTTAAGCACCTTTGGTTTGATCTTAAGAGAATCTTTTCGAAAAAGGGGAAGGGAGGGTGGAACTGGGAGGGGAGGAGGGTGGGGCTTATGGGGGGATACAAAGTGAATAAAGTGTAATTAATAAAATAAAATAAAAAAGAATCTTTTCAATTCTTTACATTGAAAGGCTGTCAATTTCTCAGTTTTTCCATTCTGCTTCTCATTTAACCATAAAATCTATCTTTAGGTCATTTTTTTCTTCTTAAGTATATTTACTTAAAAAGAGGCACATAGAAAAGCTGCTATTAGAAATTCTTTTGCCAGGTAACCTAGCTTATCACTCATGTTGTGCATTATTTAAAATGAGGGATATATTTTTTGCAAATTTTTAACAAGTTTCCTCCAAATTCCAAGTCCATGTTCTTCATATTTAAGGCCATATCACAACAGCCTTATACCACTCATATTTCTGTCAATATGTGGGCCATTACCTTTACTAACAAAGGTAATGATTCAGACTGAAATAAGCTGGCATGAAAGGAGGTGGTCAGAGACCAGAATACCTGAAAACAAGATTTAGACATTCTGAAGTAATTGGTAATGAAAAGCTGGCAGATAAAGTAGGACTAGTGCCGTGAGAACAAGCCATTTACCTGTATCATTTGGGCCAATTCAAGAGTTAACATCAGAAGTGAATTTAACTGTTAAATACCCAAGTGGTGTTAGAAAATAAGATATTTGGTTGGTGGAAGAAAGACGAAAGACAGAAGACAGAAGATGAAAATCCAGAAGAAGCAGCAGAAGACAGCAACAACCATCACCACCTCTCAGTAGAATCCAACAAGAAGTTCTAAAGGGGAATTATCTAGAACTCATGGCTCTATACTCACCTAACTGATACTAAACAACGCAGAGGTCACCTCTATGAAAGGAAAGACAAAGAACCTCAAGCTATATTGTCAGTGTTGAAAGGTGACTTGTATACAGAACTAAATCAATGGTTGGCCAGCTATGCAGCCATGGGCTAAAATTAAGGCCATCTACTTTTACAAATAAAGTTTTAATGGAACACATCCATGCTTAATCATTTACATACTGACTATGGTTGCTCTCATCCCACAAAAAATGAAATTAAATAGATACCATAAAGACAAGAGGGCTCACAAATTCAAAACATCTTCTATTTGGTTTTTACAGAAACAGACTGGCAATCCTGATGTTAAATATTAGGAAAATAAAGGGAACTTTTTACAATGGTCTTGTAAAAAAAAACACAATGAAAAAAATTCACACAAAAGTTGTAATGGCATGGCCTGGTGCTTTGTATTTAATTGTTAACTATATCATCCCCACCAGCCCCAGGTCTGCTTGCTGTCTTTTAGGAGCAGATACTAATGTATCCCAAAATCCCAAAATGGAATACTAATGTATCCCAAAATGTAATCTTTGCCTGAAAACTATCCCTTATTGCCTAAATAAATGTCTACACACTTGGGCAGGGCAGCAATGAAGTTCGAGGGCTGGGAGGAAAGAAGGATCACATGAGGAAAAAGAGACAAGTAGAGGAAAAGAAGGAAGCAGAGTCTCCATGGGATAGGTAAAGAACCACGTAGGTGGGGAGGAAGGACTCTGAAGATCGGCCTGGAGGGAATTGGCTCAGATGGAGAGCATGTGCAAGTATTTATGGAGCTATGGATGAGGTAGCCCTGATAGGAGTTATTAAAGCAAATGTCATGGGGAGTGGGACTGAGGTAACAAAGTAGATTGGGGGCAATATCTGCCCAGCCGCAGGTGAAATAAGATTTATTTAAATACAGCAGGTGTCTGTGCCTTTTATTGACATGGTAGTGGGATAGTAATAACTACTGTAATAATTATAGGCTTTTAATAATAAACATTATTAACAATTTCTTCACATTTTCTACAACAGAAAGTTATTATTTATGGTAGTTTCTTATTTTCTCATTTCCTTGATGTTCTTCTAATTAACTCTGTTCATTCAAACCCACTCTTATCCTCAGTCTGCCCTCATCACAGGTTCATAGCTCTTCTTTAGCACATTGTCTGAAGGAAAAAGCTGAGGAGAGGGTGAAGAGTAAGAAAAAAGGAAAGACAGGAAAAAGAAGAAGAGAAGGAGGAGAAGGAAGTAGAAACAATGAAACAGAGGAAAAACTAGTATATAACCAGAATATATATATATATATGCGGCGTGATGGAAGGTCTAGTAATTGAGTAGCATAGAGAATGATTAAAATACCATTGTAAATATTTTAGGAAATAAACAGGAGAGAAAGAATACCAAAACAGCAAATAAAAGCAAAATAAAATTATTTTTAAATACAGAGGTAACACATTTAAAAAGCATAAAATCTGTTAGTATTACACCCTTAAGAAACCCTTCTATTTACCTATCCAAAGAGGCAAAGAGTCCAGATTTTCCTCCTACTGCACACAATACTTTGGGAGCACAGCGAGGTCGTGTCATCAAGACTGTCTGATGAGACAGTCTATGTTCAGGCATGAAGTGGTACTTTAGGGCTTCATTCAAAAGATGCTTACAAGTGCGATCATCACGGATAAGATGATTTGCTTCATAGAGCCTGGTGAGGAACTTAACACTCAGCAATGGCAGTCGTACACTGTTCAGCAGCTGTGCTAAGTATTTCTGCCGTTCTTGTACGTCATACTTGATCCAAGACTCTAGTGCATAAAAAACTGTTTCTTCAGTAGCTACATTCAGGCAGTCATTGGAGACAATTTCGTCCAAATCAGCATGTGTAAGCTCAAAAAACTCTTCAGTCTGGCAAACAGATTCAAAATTCTGGCATATGTATTTAGTAGCTGCCAAATAAAGGTCATGACAACCATAAGTCTCTGCAAAACGGGAAATACCAATACAATTACCAGGGTCAAGTTGGCTTTCAAGAAATGTACAACATTCTTTCAAGACAAGCTTTATCTGGAGTAGGTTTGCTGCTGGCAGGAGAGATTCAACAGTATCCTGAGAAATGAAAACCGTCCCTGTATAGGCATACTCCACAATGGCTTGCAGGGCAGCTTCATCAATGCACTGAAACTCAACCTCACTGTTCTCTTTCTCAGAAAGGTTTCCAGTGAACATAGCCTTGAAATAAGGGCTGATGCTGGCAAGTACCACTTTATGAGCATGAATCTTAACATCACCTACTCGGAGAATAATGTCACAGAGTTCGTGATGCTGGCGAAGAAGATTCAAGCCCTGCAGAAGTTGTTCAGAATGTAAATGGGTTAAGTTAGCAAGCATGTAGGTCGGGGATGTGTGGTCCATCTACAGAAAAATACAAGACACAAACAGTTACTTCAAAATAGCCATGCTAATGTAAGTCTGTCTCAAAGAGTGCAAGTCAGACTTATCTGTTGCTTTGCTGGATTTTAAACATTAAACACTACAACAGAGCCTTTTGAGTTAGAAGAAATTTAATAATCATTTAATTCAGCTCCTTTGTTACAGATAGTAGAAAGTGGAGAACCAAAATATAAGTCTCAAACCATAAAGACTTTTAAATGAAAACTAAATGTTTCATTGCATATTTTCATTAAATCACCACAATAAAATACAACTATGTGGGAAAAAATGCTTACAGTCAAATTAGTTTTGCAACACTAGCTATTTGCTATTTTCTCAGCAATAACATCAATAGTAACAAGTGACAGTGACTTTGTAAAGCATAAAGTTCCATATAAGGATATAGCATATAAGGGTCATTTTATTAAATTGCCTTTTCCTATGACCTCCATCTTCACTAATTCGTATTCTTTCCCATAATAGCCTTTCACTCCAACACTGTTTATGCAAGTACTAATGCTACAGCTCTGTATGAAATGTTATCTCTCCCAAATGTTTTCTTACTAATCACTAGGTATTGCCTATAACTTTTCCTTTCCATCCTCCTTTCCTCAATACAAAATTTCAAAAGCCTAGGTCAATATTAAATTTCTCTAAAAGTCTATTCCTTTACATGCAATTAACTATATGTGCAGATTTGTCAACCACTTCTTGACTCTCATTTGTTCGATTTAACAAGGAGAATCACTTTCAGACTGAACAGTGAACAATGTCAATGGAAAACAGAAAGTTGGAAAAGGAAGAACTAGATACTTTATAAGAACATATTTCTCTCAGACTAAACAACTAATTCCAAAAGAGATCCTGAATTAATACCAGAGCTCTAGGACTGGACAGTAATCTTAAAAGCAAGACTAAATTTTATAAATAGTCTGAAAAGATTCATCTTAACTCCAGATAACAATGCACAATTAATTTTTCTTTTTTAAAATTATTATTATTTATTACAATTTATTCACTTTGAAAATATCCTGGCTGTAGTCCCCTCCCTCATTTCCTCCTGGTCCCACCCTCCCTCCCTCTTCCCCTGCTCTATATCTTCCCCTAGTCCACTTGTAGGGGAGGTCCTCCTAGCCTACTATCTGAGCCTAGCCTATCAGGTTTCATCAGGACTGTCTGGATCCTCTTTCTCTGTGATCTAGTAAGGCCACCCCGCCAGGGGCAGGTGATCAAAGAGCAAGCAACCGAGTTCATGCTAGAAACTGCCCCTGCTCCCCTTACTAAGGAATCCCCAGAGACTGAGCTGACCATGGGCTATGATCAAAAACTCAAATGACAACACATGCTGGAGATGTTGTGGAGAAGGGGAACTTCCTCTATTGCTGGTGGGAATGTAAACTGGTACAATCACTTTGGAAATCAAACTGGTGCTTTCTCAGGAAATTAGGACTAGTGCTACCTCAAGTTCCAGCTATACCACTCCTGGGCATATATCCTAAACATGCTCCACCATTCAACAAGGACATTTGCTTAGCTATGTTCATAGCAGCTTTATTTGTAAGAGCCAGAATCAGGAAAGAACCTCGATTAATACAGAAATTGTGGTACGTTTACACAATGGAACACCACTCAGCAATTAAAAACAAGGAAGTCATGAAATTTGCAGGCAAATGGATGGAACTAGAAAAAATGATCCTGAGTGAGGTAGCCCAGAAGCAGAAAGACACACATGGAATAAACTCACATGTAAGTGGATATTAGCCATATACTATAGGATAAACATAGTAAAATCTATAGTCCTAAAGAAGCTAAACAACAAGGAGGATCCTATGGAAGAGCAAACAGGATAGACATCAGAAGTAGAAGACAGGAACAGGACAGGAGCCTTCCACAAAGGACCTCTGAAAGATTCTACCCATCAGGGTATCGAATGAGCCTCACAGCCAAACTTTGGGCAGAGTGCAGGGGATGTTATGGGAGAAGGGGGAGATAGAAAGAACCTGTAGGGGACAGGAGTTCCACAAGGAGAGCAACAGAACCAAAAAAACTTGGGCCCAGGGGGACTTGTAGAGACTGATGCATCAACCAAGGACCAAGCAAGTAGAGGACCTAGACCCCCTTGCTCATATGTAGCCCATGCACTGCAAAATTATTAATGGTGTGATTTTTTATTACAAAAAGTGGATCATTTAGTCTAGTCTAAATGAACCAACAGTAATAAGGCACACCAGGGACTGTTTCTTCTCATGATGAGCTTAAAGTTTTCTATCAGAAAAGTGCATTTTTTAAGCTTAATTCAAGACAAGAAAATAATTTTATAATGCCTCTCAAGAATTTTGATAACCAATGTAAAATTATAATCTAGTTCAGGTGGGTAAATTAGCAAATGCCCAGTCCATACAAGTAGAAGAAAGAGGACTGCGGAAATGATTCTAGTGCTGTACCGCAGGACCAAGATGACGATACTCTAGCTCCGCCCTTTCTCTTTGTAATGATCATAAGGGGCAGCAAATTAATGATCCTAAAAGACCTGACACTTAACATAGTATTTATTTTTATTTTAATGTTTTGTTTTTTTCAAGACATGATTTCCTTGGCTGTCCTGGAACTTTGCACTGTAGATCAGGCTGGCTTTGAACTCAAAGAGATCCTCCTGCCTCTGCCTTCCAAGTGCTAGGATTAAAGGCGTGTGCCACCACTACCTGGCTAGCATAATAATTTAATAGAAATAAAATATAAACATTCCAAAGCATTGGCACAAGCATCAGGGATAGAAATAACTGATCTGCGGGATGTTTTCAGGTTTAGGGATTTTAATTTCAGTTCTACTTTAATACCCTAAGCTGATGAGGCCCGAAGCTCTATTATTAGAACTAAAATACACAGAATGTCAGAAAGGAGACTTTTATTTTGTTCTGGAACTGTCAGTTCACATCAGGTGCACAGACTTTGGGCATCAGCCTTTAAAGGGAACTGAAACAAACCATAAAACCTACTGAAGAGAAGAATTCAGATCATGTCCAATGAGTAATAGATCGGAGGATACTGAGTAGAGAGAAAAGGAAAACTGAGCGTTACGTGGCAAGCCAAGGGAGAAATGCTGCTTTACAGTAAGGGTTGATTAAAGGATTAAATGAATTTATACATATGAAATGCTTAAAAGTGTCTAGCAGTGAGGTCATGACAATTTTGCTAACTTGTGTTCATGAAATTTTTAGCTGTTTACTTGAGTGGTGTTTAGCTTTCCATGTTGTACTACCTCTTAATTTTAGGTAAGAAATTCATTCTCGGGTCTATGGTAAATGTGGCATGAAAGTATAACATAATCTGTGAAAAGCACAGGGACATACACAATCCTTACGCATAGACAGGTCAGGCAGAGCTCTATCAGTTCGAGGCCAGCCTGGTCTACAGAGTAAGTTCCAGGACAGCCTGGGCTGCACAGAGAAACCCTGTGTTGAAATAACCAAAGCCCAAAACAAACAAAGATACAACGTGCCACTTTAGGATTTGAATAATGCATTAGATTTAGATTTTTCTCTTAGACAGTAGAAAGAATTGCTCTATGGTAAACTGTCTGGATCCTCGATCCACACACAGACTACCTACTTGATAAGGATCCCAGCCTACATGGTGTGAGGCTAAGCTGTTTTATAGTCTCTGGCTCTATTCTAAAAGGGTGTGGGGTAACCCTCCCCTACCACTGGACATCATCATAACTAAGAATGTGGAAGAAATTATCTCACGACAGACTTCCAGCATAGACAGAGAGGTTAGTGAGAGATGTCCCACATAAGCTCCTTAAGTGCCCTCTTACTCTCTAGTGTTCTGGATCACCACAAAGTATATCAATAGTCTGATGTACTATTGTCCTTGCTTGCTGTATGGATAGATGCAAAGTCAGTCAATAAGGTGCCATGGCAAACCTTCCATACACTCACATTCTTTTTTTTTTTAATAATTTTTAAAAATTTTTTTTATTAATTACAGTTTATTCACTTTGTATCCCAGCTGTAGCTCCTCCTCCATCCCCTCCATAGCCCACCTTCCCTCCCTCTTCTTCTCCTATGCCGCTTCCCTTCCATCTGACCATAGTCTATCAGGTCTCATCAGGACTGGCTTCTTTGTCTTCCTCTGAGGACTGGTAAGGCTGCTCCCCCCTCAGGCGGAAGTGATCAAAGAGCAGCCCATGAGTTCATGTCAGAGATGGTCCCTGGTCCTATTATTGGGGAACCCTCTTGGACACTGTGCTGCCTTGGGCTACTTCTGTGCAGGGGTTCTAAGTTATCTTCATGCATGGTCCATTTTTAAGAGTACTTCATCTCATTTTAACCAATGTGTGGATGATTCATTTCAAACATCAGTGTGCTTCACACCAGGATAATAACAAAAACTATTAAAAATTAAAAAAAGGTTGAAAGGTCTTTGGTAAAGAACACTTGTACACACTCTTTCCATCATACCAGCTAGAAGGCAGGAGAAAACTCTTTGCTATTCAGGCCTTGTTGCTGGGTTTGAGTTTGGTAGCCAGAGCCCAGTGAAACAGCCTGAACTCCCAAAACTTGTTCTCTGACCTCCATACATATGAATGACATGCTCTCTCTCTCTCCCCCCCACCTCTCTCTCACACACAAATAATAGTAAATGAAGCTTAACATTTTAAAATTAAACATAATTATTGGGAATAAATTTTATATAAATAAATCTTATTTATAATGAGTAACGTAAAAATTAATTAAAACTTTAAACAGGGAAGGTAAAAGCAGGAAACTTAAAAATAACGATACTAGGTTTACCATGTTTAATTTGTCCTCTTTCTTTTTCAAGAAATATGTATTAGCAATTTACAAAAGTTGTTCATGGTCCTTTGTACCAAAAGTATCAGTATCAGTTAGGGACCTGCGAAAAATGAAAGCCCCGCCTGAATAGAGAGAGAAAAGAGAGGTGAGGAGGTAAAGAGCCTGCTTCCTGCTCTCCTGCTG